CAGAAATATGCATTCCTTATACATTAACAGTGAAAGATCAGAAAGAGAAATTAAAGAAATAATTCCATTTACCATCACATCAAAAAGAATAAAATACCAAGAAATAAACCTACCTCAGGGGAAAAAAGAACTGCATTCTGAAAACTGTAAGATGCTGAGGAAAAAAATCAAAGATGATACAAACAGATGGAAAGATATACTATATTCTTGGATTGGAAGAATCAATATTGTCAAAATGACTATACTATCCAAGGCAATCTACGGATTCAAGGCAATCGCTACTGAATTACCAATGACATTGTTCACAGAACTAGAAGAGAAAAATCTTAAAACATGTATGGAGACACAAAAGACTCCTAATAGCCAAAGCAATCTTGAGAGAGAAAAATGGAACTGGAAGAATCAGGCTCCGTGACTTCAGACTATACTACAGAGTTACAGTCATCAAAACAGTATGGTACTGGTGCAAAAATAGAAATACAGACAAATGGAACAGGATAGAAAACCAGAAATAAACCCATGCAGCTATGGTCAATTAACTTACGACAAATTGACTACAAAATATTGGAAAGACAATCTCTGCAAGAAATGGTACTGTGGAAATGGGACAGCTACATTTAAAAAGTGAAATTAGATCATTCTTTAACACAATACACAAAAATAAACTCAAAATGGATTAAGAACTTAAATGTGAGACTGGACACTATAAAATATTTAGAGGAAAATATAGGCAGAACATTCTGACATAAATCGCAGCAATATTTTTTTCAATCCATCTCCCAGAATAATGGAAATAAAAACCAAAATAAACAAATGGAACCTACTTAAACTCAAAAGTTTTTGTAGAGCAAAGGAAGACCACAAACAAAGCAAAAAGACAACTCACAGATTGGGAGAAAATGTTTGCAAATGATGTGACTGACAAAGCATTAGCATCTAAAATTTACAAACAGCTCATGATGCATAATAGCATCAAAACAAACAACTCAATCAAAAAATGATCAGAAGACCTAAATAGACATTTCTGCAAAGAAGACATACAGATGGTCAAGAGGCACATGAAAAGATGTTCAACATGTCTAATTTGAGAAATGTAAATCAAAACTACAATAAGATATCACCTCACACCAGTCAGAATGGCCATCATAAAAAAAAAAATCCACAAACAATAAATGCTAGAGAGTGTGTGGAGAGGAAGGAACCCTGCTACACTGTTGGTGGGAATGTAAATTGGAACAGTCATCATGAAGAACAGTATGGAATTTTTTAGTTTTGTTTTTTCCTTAAAAAACTAAAAATAGAGCTTCCATATGACCCTGAAATCCCACTCCCGGGCATATATCCAGAGAAAAACATGATCCAAAAAGATACATGCACCTCACTGTTCATTGCAGTGCTGTTTACAATAGCCAAGACATGGAAGCAACCTAAACGTACATCAACAGAGGCATGGATTAAGAAGATCTGATATATATATATATATAATGGAATATCACTTAACCATTAATAAGAATGAAATAATGCCATTTATGGCAACATGGATGGACCTAGAGATCCTCATACTGAGTGAAGTGAGTCAAATAGAGAAGGAGAAGTATCATATGACATCTCTTATATGTGGAATCCAAAAAGAAATGATACAAATGAACTTACTTACAAAATAGGAAGAGAACCACAGACTTGGAAAACGAACTTACAGCTGCCAGGGGGAGGGATGGGGGAGGGGATGGTTGGAGAGTTTTGGATGGACATAGTACACTGCTATGTTTAAAATGGATAGCTGACAAGAACCTACTGTGTAATACATTGAACTCTGCTCAATGTTGTGTAGTGACCCAGATGGGAGGTGAGTTTGGGGAAGAATGGGTCCTTTCGCTATTCATTTGAAATTGTCACAACATTATTTGTTAATGGACTATACCCCAATACAAAATAAAAAGTTTTTTTTTTTTAAAAAGCAAGAAAAAAAAAATATTGTCAAAATGACTATACTACCCAAGGCAATCTACAGATTCAATGCAATCCCAATTAAATCACCAATGGCAATTTTCACAGAACTAGAACAAAAAGATTTAAAATTTGTATGGAAAACACAAAAGACACCAGATAGCCAAAGCTATCTGGAAAAAGAAAAATGGAGTTGGAGGAATCAGGCTCAGACTTCAGACTATATTATAAAGCTATAGTCATTAAAACAATATGGTGCTGGCACAAAAACAGAAATAAAGATCAGTAGAGCAGGATAGAATGTCCAGAGATAAACCCATGTACCTACAGTCACCTAATCTAAGAAAAAGGAGGCAAAAATGTACAATGGATAAAAGAGAGTCTCTTCAATAAATGTTGCTTGGAAAACTGGACAGCTACATGTAAAAGAATGAAAGTAGAATAGTCCCTAACACCATACACAAAAATAAACTCAAAATGGATTAAAGACCTAAATGTAATGTTGGATACTATAAAACTCTTAGGGGAAAACATAGGCAGAACACTTTCTGTCATAAATTGCAGTAATATCTTTTTCAATCCACCTCCTAATGAAAATAAGAACAAAAATAAACAAATGGGACCTAATTAAACATAAAAGCTTTTGAGCAGCAAAGGAAACCATAAGCAAAATGAAAAGACAATCCTCAAAATGGGAGAAAATACTTGCAGATGAAGCAACGAACAAGTGCTTAATCTCAAAAATACACAAACAGCTCACGTAGCCCAATATTAAAAAAAAACAATCAAAAAAAAAAAATGGGTGGAAGAGCTAAACAGACATTTCTCCAATAGCACTAATTATTACAGAAATGAAATCTAAACTACAATGAGGTATCACTTCATACTGGTTAGAATTGCCATTATCAAAAAATCTATAAACAATAAATACTGGAGAGGGTGTGGAGAAAAGGGAACCCACTACTCTGTTGGTTGGAATGTAAATTAGTGTAGCCACTGTGGAAAACAGTATGGAGGTTTCTTTAAAAAATTAAAAATAGAACTACCCTATGATCCAGCAATCCCTATCTTGGGCATATATCCAGAGGAAACTATAATTTTGTGCCCCAGTGTTCATTGCAGCACTATTTACAAAAGCCAGGATGTGGAAGCAACCTAACTATCCATTAATAGAGGAAACAAAAAAGAAGATGTGGTAATATATACAATAGACGATTACTCAGCCATTAAAAAGAATCAAATAATGCCATTTGCAGCAACATGGATGGACCTGAAGATTATCATACTAAGTGAAATAAGTCAGGCAGAGAAAGACAAATATCATATAGTATCACTTCCACACAGAATCTAAAAAAATAATACAAATGCACTTTTTTATAAACCTGAAACAGACTCACAACCTTAGAAAACAAACTTAGGGTTACCAAAGGGGAAAGGTGGAGGGGGGGATAAATTTGGAATTGACATATACACACAACTATATTTAAAATAGATAACCAACAAGGACATACTGTATATCATGAGGAACTGTGCACTATATTCTATTATAATCTAAATGGGAAAAGGCTTTGAAAAAGAATATACATATATATATGTGTGTGTGTGTGTGTGTGTGTGTGTGTGTGTGTGTGTGCATATATAACCAAAGTACATTGCTTACACTTGAAACTAACAAAACATTGTAAATCAACTATACCCAATGAAAATTTAAAAAGGAAGCCACATAATTAAAATATATTCCATATAAGCTTCCGTAGATAAATTAGAGAATATGTATGTGAAATTTATTTGCTCAGTGAGGAGTCCAGTTAGATCCTGGGGAAAGAAATCGGGGACTTTACTTGATGGCAGAGGAAGTCAATCTCAGGTGCATGAGGCTGAGGTTAGTAGCAGGTACTAAAATGAAAAGATCTGGCGGTTTCAACTGACCTTAAATTCAATACATATCAGTGGTGTGAAGTGGTTCCTCAGGAAGTTAATGTAGTATCAGTCACATTAAAGAAATGCAGTCCTTGCTGTATTTGGCAGACCTTGAGAAATGTGGTCTGTTATGAGCATTATGCTTTAGGGATGATAGTGACAACCTGGGAAGAAGCAGGGAGGAAGACTCTAGGATGATTACACAAGTTGGATTCAATTCAGATGAAGCCCAGTTTAAGGACCTGCAATATCATTGGGTGCAGGAGAGACCTGACTCCAAGCATGTGTAGGGCAGCCATGGAGAAAAGCAATCATAAAGAGCTCATAAAACCCCATGAGGACAAATCTAAAACCAGCAAGTGGAAGTTACAGCTTAGAGGTCAAACATTCTCCAAACCCAAAGGACAATCCACTATCAGAATGGCTTCTCTGTGGAACAAGAAGCCTGGAAGAAAAGTTCAAAAAGTGGAGGTGGAGCGGCATTAGTCAGGGACATGGGGGAGGGAGGGTGGCCTGGTTTGAGAGGGCCCACAAGGCTCCTTCAGCCCAGTTCCTCTTTTCCTGCCACTAGTGAGCCTTCTTTGGGGATGCTTAGCTCGCTTGAGCAAAGGTTTAATAAATTATCCAGGGGTAAGCTGTCACAGTTAGAGGTTACCCAGCATTCATCTGCTCCCAAATTACAAACCTTACTGAAGTTAAGATGTATCTTCTCCCTTGTTAAACCTAACCTCTGAGGACTCTCACCCTTATCTCAGAGCCAAATTTTAGCCATGACAGTTTTGCCCTTTCATTGGCTCTCAAATTGATTTATAGGCACAAACCAGGAGTCTTCTCAAATGTGTAAAGTAAGCTTGCAGGATTGCCGTTTTCCTTCTGGGTCAGCACTTCCACTCCAGGGTCTTCAGGCTCCCTCTCCCCGCCTGTATCCCACCACATCCCTTACTCTACTCTCTCGTCTCATGCCACACTGCTGAAGAGAGAATTCTTATAACCAGCTCAAGGAAGGTCTTTTTTAGACTTTTGTAGGTATCTTAACTGCCTATGTTTGTTTGTTCTGCCTGCCCTGTGGCAGGTCCTGGGGTGAGAGTATGGCCAGGAATCTGAGAAGGGAGTTGGGAGACTGGGCCTCCTACCTTGACAGGTGAAGCATCTGATGTGGAAGTGGTTATTGTGGACACGAACCACCTCCCCTTTGCAGGTGTCTCCGCATCGGTAGCACTGGATGACATTGGCGCTGCCCCGGGGACTGTAAGGATTCTGCTGATATGGAACTGTAGAAAGAAACAAAGAGATCACCATCCAGAAGGCTCTTTTTCTTTAAAAAGTCTGCCATAACACACAATTATAATATTAACTGGCAGAAAAAGCAGAAAGGGTGAGCGTGATTAGCAAAGTACCTTTAATACATCATGAGGCTGAGTATGCCAAGCTAAGACATCTTTAAAAGGTGAGTGGCATTAAGACAAGAGTTTATAAATCTACTTAAGCAGGCAAAGACTTCTGAGTGAACATAACCTTTTCTTGCAATAATAGAGCCCAAATTCACAAATTAAAAATAAAAGCAGAAGTAGAGTATTGCAAGATAAATGATCCAGAAATACCATTTCTTGGGAGATCTCTGGATCAATACCAGGCCCCAAAAGGAATTTAGGTCTTGCCATTGACTCGTGGGTCTTGAGGAAAGGGGTGGCTGACTGCCTCCAACTGGCCTTTCTGTTGAACAAGTTCCAGCTCCTCTCTGCCTCTCAGTTTACACATCTATGAAATGAGGACGCTCAACAGCAGCTGACTTTCTGATAAAAAAAGCACTCAAGTTGGAAGGATGTTGATGACGTAACTTACCTTACAATTGCCTTTGAATAGCACTTTCCATAACATTGAGAACATTGTCAAATGTGTGTAGTTGGGGGAAAGAGCTGGTGGAGACTATAAAGGGGCTGAAGTCACTGGGATGGCAGTGCTATGGTCAGCATTTGACGATACTGTAGACCTACACTTGCCTTTTGAGGCTACTGATCTCTTGCTTAGACTCTCATAGCTTCTTTTCTAGATTTTCTTTCCCTGGAATATTCTTTGCATGACCATTCTATAAACTGGTCATCTAGTATTTAATAATAGTAGGCGCCTGTCTAGAACATAAGTTTCAGGGTCAGAAGGGATATTAATAGTTGTCTGGTCCAACCTCTTTATATATAAACTGTTGAGACAACTTTGGCAGTGAGGAACCCAATCTTCTCTTTTGGAGGAAGCCCTTAGGGGTTCTGGGGAGAGAATCACTCAATTCCTCAATTCTTACCCAAGGCTGAAGTAATTGTCCACAAATTTATGCTCATATCCTATTAGGAGAAGGCCCACTCTTGTCCTAATTATAAGGACAACCACTTGATTGGAGGGAATTGGTGTCCATCATTTAGACATGCAGACTTGCTGGCTAAACTCTGAATAAGCATAAGTTAAAACTGTACTCAAAGAAAATCTGAAATGCCAAGGAACCTAAAGAACACCTAGATTAAGGGTTTTTGACTTAGTGTGGTAACTGTTATGTCTGTTTATTGAAATTTGAGTCTTTTATTCTTGGCACATGGAGGACTACACAGTGTCTTGCTTGACAATGAAATGTGAATGAAAATTGTGTGTCACTTCCAACTGGAAGCTCTAGGAGCCAGTATGGGATCTGCCATATTGCCTTTTCCATAGGCCAGCAACCAGCGATATCCCAGATGGTGTGCAGGATGCAGCAGCTTGGATTCCTGATGGAGAAGTCCAGAGCAGAGCTCTAAGCTGACCCATGATGAATGTCGATCATGAGCAAGGAGGAATTTTTGTTGTCATAGCCTCTAAGGCTATTTTTAACTGCAGCATACCCTAATACACCTGATATCTAATATTTCTAGTGAAACATAAAATTTGGTGTTATACACATTATACTATAGTTTTCTTCAGATTCTCAAAGATGATCTCCACAACTGATCTCATGTTCCTTACGCCTTTTGAAGAAAAGGAACAGAAATGCTGGACTTTCAATTACCTCCCACATCTTGAACCATAAGTGCACTTAAGGGCAAAAAGCTGGTGGCTTATCCCTGAAACCGCTAATACTGACAACTTTTATCTGAGGTGGGAGAATAACATCTTTCCTGCAGTCTTTTTCTCAAGAATTTCATGTCCTTTATTTAACGTTTCTTTTCCTGTCTTAAATTTAAGACAAAAGTTAAATGAGTTAACTAGTTAACTAAATCATTAACTAACTCAGAAAATGAGTTAATACATGTAAAGCATTTCAAAAGTTCATGAAGTATTCCACAAATATATTTCAGGGCTCCACTGGTATCTTGACCATCACATCCTCCCCAGAGCTCAGAGCAATCCTTCCCCACTCCCACAAGGTCCACAAACATTCTCCTCGGTCTTATTTTTTCATTTTTTTGCTTGTTTTTCTAATTCCTGCTCAGTGTCCCCTGAAAAATATTTCATTCTCCAATCTCCCCCAAATTTGTGAGAAAAATATAGATTCTGTTTATATGAGCAATGTAATGATCTACTATTGCTGAGGGAAATAAAACTGTGAGTCTGAAAATAAAATAAGAAAAAAATAGTATAATCACCACCATCAGTGATGAGAGTTCTTGAAAGAATCCAAAAGTCCCTCCAGAATCACTATACAAATTTCATCTACCTCTTCTTTGTTTAAATTTTTTATCTATTTTTTTTTCATAGTCAACAAAAGAGTCCAAAATGTAGTACTTGGGTGCAATCTCAAAAATGACACAGTGATCTAGGTTTGTTTCCAAGGCAAACCATTCAATGTTACAGTAATCCAAATCTATGCCCCAGTCACTAATGCTGGAGAAGATGAACTTGAACGGTTCTATGAAGACCTACAAGACCTTCTAGAAATAATACCAAAAAAGATGTCCTTTTCATCATTAGTTCAGTTCAGTTGCTCAGTCGTGTCTGACTCTTTGTGACCCCATGGATGGAAGCATGCCAGGCTTCCCTGTCCTTCACCAACTCCTGGAGGCTACCCAAACTCATGTCCATCAAGTTGGTGATGCCATCTAACCATTTCATCCTCTGTCGTCCCGTTCTCCTCCTGTCTTCAAACTTTCCCAGCATCAGGGTCTTTTCAATGAGTTGGTTCTTCATATCAAGTGGCCAAAGTATTGGAGTTTTGGCTTCAGCATCAGTCCTTCCAATGAATACTCAGGACTGATTTCCTTTAGGATGAACTGGTTGGATCTCCTTGCTGTTCAAGGGACTCTCAAGGGTCTTCTCCAGCACCACAGTTCAAAAGCATCAATTCTTGGGTGCTCAT